GAGCCCTTGGGATCATGACCCACCTGGCCACAGGCATGCTGAGTGGCGGCGCCTTGGTGGCTCACTCGAGTGCCGCAGCCTCCAGTGAGCCCTCGACCCAACCCCTCGGAGTAGGATCCACACATGTGGCACACCCGAATACTCGTGGGATGCTCAAGGTGCTCAAAATAAAACAAAACCTGGCCTTTATTATCATGCACAAGGTCTGACATCTGCTTTTGGCCGCAAAAGCTGCACTCTGTTTGAATGACTTCGTCTGTACCTTACACAGCGCGCAACGATAATACTGCGAAGTTTTCGCCCACGAGTGAAACCCCCAAGGCTCTCTGGGCTCACGAGGGACTTCGTGGGGCTCAGGCGACGGAGGAGGAGGAGAAGGCCCGACCGACAACGGCGACCACGACGTCAGGGCAGAGGCAGCACCCGTGGGGGGAGAAAGGTTCTTCCCTGGGGCGGCCAGACCTTTGTTCTTGCTGGGGGCGGTCGCGAGCCACTCTCCCAGAGCCTGCGCCACATGCTTGAGTTACTTGGAAACGAACTTCTTATATTCATCGAAATTGCACCTCTCATCTTGTCTGGGCTGGACGCCCTTGTGTGTAGCTGCCTTCGTAAGACAGTCCTCAACATATTTACCTTCCGCCATGCGGCGGACACGGGGGTGCTCGGTGCCTTGATGCAGCCTCAGCACTCCCTTGCAGTCAGAGTAAAACATCTGGCCGACTCGGCCGCTGAAATAAGTAAAAACTTCAACGTCTCTCATACAAACAACAGCAATACCTGCAGCATTGAGCACATAGTTCGCGTGGTTGGTGCAACTGCCAGCTATATACACTTCCCCCTCGCTGAGGGCCTCTTGTGTGTTGATACCTACTTGAGCACGCCAAATCTCACAAAAAAAAAAAAAAAAAAAAAAAAAAAAAACAATATCCAGGGGGCGGCACTCCACGGAACTCAGGAACCAGCGGGAACCCACGACGCAAATGCGGGGCCTGGGGAAGGGGCTCAATCAAACGCAGAAGCTCCGCAGCCAGGAAGTGAGTGGCTCTGATTTCTTGAATTTTCTGGTAGTGCAATACTCCGTGGCAGAGCCCGACTGGAACATCATACCCTGCTGTTTTGGCTCTCTCTATGGTCCAGATACTTTGGTTGAGGCAGGTGAGCAGGGGGCAATTCTGGTGTCCAGTGAAGAGAGCAATCCGAGCAGCAACGATATCTAGCTGAGCGTCCGCGTGGCCGATCTTGTCGGCCGCCGCGGAGGCGAGCTGGCCGTGCCAGTCGTGCTCCATGGGCTTTTGGAGGAAGGCGGGGAAGTGTCCTGGGAGTGAATGGATACTCAAGACCTGAAGTAGTCACAAAGGAAAGCGGCCCCTGGATCTTCCAACCAAAACGTCTAAACGAAAGCGACGCCACACAGGGAGGGCCCCAGGAGGGACCCCACGAATTCGGAACACTCGGGGGGAAGTCTTTTGCCCGAACCCACAGCTGCGGGCAATTGGCCACGGCTAAGAGCGGGCAAGCGGGCGCATCCCAAACTAAACGATGCCACATAAGGGCGGGACCGAGGGCAGCTTTCCACAGGGGGGCCCTGGAGGATGAGCAACGCCAAGCTGCTGCTGCGGGTCGAGCGTCTCGGGCCCGCGGCAGCCAGAAACTGAGACCTAGCTGCTGCAAGTTGAGTGCCGTTGGTGCCAGTGACCTCAACTTCAAGGGTAGTGGCCGCTTCAAGGCCATTCTTATGCAGCTTGTGAGTGTTACCCCCAGCACGTTTCAACAAACGGCCATTGTTAGGTCTGTTATGCATCTTCCCAAGACGCTCCGAACGCTTCCGAAGTTTTGTCCATCTTCTCTGGGGGCGGCCAGCCCCAGTTTCCTTGCCCAGGTTGGGTCCCGAACGATCAGGGTTCGGGCCTGCCAGAGGCCCCATCTTAGTCCTGAGCTGGCCCTGCAGGACTTGGTGAGACGCTGGCGCCTGGGTCTTCTTGCTGACCATCTGGCACTTAAACTCGCGGCTGATGCAATCCGCCATCGATCTGGCGGCTGTGTTCATCTGGCTAGCGATGAGGCTGAAACTGCGGCCGTGGCACTGGAGCAACATATTAATAATGAACGTCGCGAGCCTACTGCGGCTATGGGCCTGCGTCCATATGTCCAAGGGGGCGAGCGCATACATCTGCACAAGGTTCGTGGCCCCAATGCTGCCAGCAGTAATGCTCCTCCAAGGCTTACCACCGCTGACCGCACAATCTTATAATGAAACGATGCGTTCGCTGGCATACTGGGGTAGAATGATACGTAATCAACAACTTGGAATGCCTGACTCAACAGCACGATGCGCAATACAAGGCCGATCAACCTATACATAATAATTAGAAAGCTCGTAAGGGACCTGGGCGCTGCATTGTTGATCTTTGGTAGAGCTGTTGCACTCGCATCCTAAGGATTGTTTGTAGATCAATTCAGCAACAGAGTGGCCAGCCTGCTTCTGGTGCAGGTGCTTGGTGACCTGCTCAATCAACTCGTCTAACACTTGCTGCGCCAGCGTCTGATTCAGAACGCCGACCTGGAATTCGGCAAGAAGCAAACCTGCGGCTACTCGGATATCCTGAAGCCCCTCAATGAGGGACACCACGGTGGAGCATAACTCGGGGCAATCCTCCAGGCTGTCCAGGGCGCCCTGAAACTCAAACAAGTTCCAGCCCTGAATCCAGCTCCTAAATTCCTGAACACGAGTGCACAACCATCTTAACGGGCCCGCAAACGTCACCCCGTCGGCTCCGGCACGAGCCACCTTGGCCTCCGCGGGGACCTTAATAACCTGAGGGGGCTGATCCCTGGGGAACCTACTGGGTTTAGGGGGCGTGTTGGTCCTTCTACTGATTGTAGTTTCCAAGTCCTGGGCCAGGGTGTAGTACACGTGGTCCAGGATCGACGTCGACTGCTGATCGGTGAGCGGCCGTTGGGTATCATCGATCAATTGCGAGGCATAATCCACGTTCGCGGCAGTCTGGTGCCCTCTCACTTCTGGCAATTGCAGGCCCACTGTGCTGTGAGTGGGCAGCTTCTGGGGCCTATGCAACGAGGGGATGTTAAAGTTAACTGAATACGCTAAGTCATCGTGAAGTTGGCCATTGGTGGCCACACGGTTTAAATTTGCCCTGGTCTCAAAGAGACCCGCAGCGGCATGAAAATACGTAGAACACAAAGCGAATTTTGGGGACCCTGGGAGTACAAGGGTCGCTCCAGACAAACGAGCGGGCACGCAATCCGAGGGAAACAGCAGAGGTTGAACCTCCAGGTCCAAACCCTCCCGGCACAAACACTCGGCTCCTGAAACCAGCTCATTGACGGGGTTCACCGTAGCAAGAGTTGTGTAGGCCAGCCACCCTTGAGACGCGCACCGTTGTATCTGCTGTGCAATGCTATCGCCTTCGGCTGACTTACACTCCTGGGCACAGGCACAAACGATGGTGGCTTCTCTGGCCAGCGGGTTTTGCAAAGACTTGTGCGCGGCAGGCCAGCAAGATCTGCTGGTGGTGGCTAGCTTATGATTATGGTTACCCTGGCGATGGGCTGTCACTTGCGGCCGCGGCGGCCGCTGCAGCCGCCTCAGCCTTCTTGGCCTCAGGGCCACCGTCGCCTTGGATCTTGACCATGCCGTTGGCGACCGTCTCCAGAGCCGCAGCAGCACGAACGCGGCGCTGCGACTCGTCCATCGGGGCCGCTTCGGCGACGTCTGCGGGGGAGGTCTCCTCCAGCTCCTTGTCGTCCACCGGCGTCGGGACATGCTGACCTGGGATGGGCATGGCTTCATCAGGCTCATCAGCACGTTCACCAACTGAAGGGCAGTCATGAGGCTCCTGCGCTGGCTTGGACCCCTTGCCCTTGCTAGCACCTTTCGCCTGTGACTCTACAAACATGGTATGCCGGTGCTGCATGTTGTCGAAAAGCTGCGCCAGCTTCGAAACTTTCGCACACAGTTCTGGTGGGGCCTCCCCACCCTCAGGCATGCGCGCTGCCAGTATGCCTTGGAGAGTGGTGAGTAAATCCTCATCTTTGGATGCCTCGTACGCTGCCGCCTGGGCGGCCATGTTGTGCTGAGACTCCAATGGCTGCACTTCTTGGGTGTTGGTCTCGATCTCCGCGACCAGCTTGCCGTGGTGTTCACTCGCCTCGACGATGGTGTGGACAAGCTCCGTCGCTTCCTTCTTCTGGGCCATGAGCTTCTGGCGCGCAACCTGCAACTGATCTGACAGCGACTGCGCCTGCTGCTCCAGGCTCTTGGCGGACAGGGCCTGCGCTTTGGCATGCTTGAGCTTGCCGATCGCCGACTTGTGCTCTTTTCCGTCTGGTTTCCACTTCTTCCAGAAAATGACCTGCGCTTGTGCCAGGGCCACTGGGTCTTCACTGGGGGCGTCGTCCTCCGCGAAGGTGACCTTGCGACCTCCTCCGCGGCCCAGGCCAGGGGGGGGCTCAGGCCCGCGGGAGCTATGTCTCCAGCGTCCTGGCTTGGGCGGTGGCTCGTGAACGTCTGGCCGAATGTCCAGAGCTCCACCACCTCCCCCTGCTGGGCGGTCTGCATGCGAAACTGACTCCGGACGCTGCTTGAATCGGCTGCCACACTGAATGCAGTGGCGAGCACTAGTAGAGCACCAAGCCCACCCTTTGCAGCCGCGCTTCGAGCAAACGACATACTACCTCTGGGCCGACGCCATCCCCTGACTCCCTTGTGCGACAGCACGCGCAGGAAATGGGCCCAACTGGTGGCACGAGTGCGGGACGTGGCTGTGCCGCTGCCTGGGGCGGACCAGGCAGGCACTGGGCAAAGCAAGATGCTTGGGCCCGAACACCCAGGGCCTTCCCTGGATGGCAACGCTGAGTCCTGCACCTCCCGCGGTGTGCTCAGGACTTGAGCCAGAAGAAAGAGGAGGAGGAGGAGGAGGAGGAGGAGGAGGAGGAGGAGGAGGAGGAGGAGGAAAAGGCCCCTTTCCCCCAGGGGCGGCCTCGGCCTGGAGGCGCGAATCCTGCTCCAGCGCAGGCCGGGCAGCTCCAGCCGCGCCTCCTCGGCGGGGCTGTCGGCGGCGTCGCCCGCGTCGTCGGCGGGCGGCCGAGGCCTCGGGGCGATGGTGCCGTCCGTGACGTTCTTCAGCGCGGCGTGCGTCCAGAACCCGAAGGTCACGCCCATGAAATCGATCGCCGTGGAGATGGACTCCTGGCGGTCTGCCGTCATCTTCAGGAAGGTGAGGCCGTACGATCGCCCGCCGGAGATCACCGAGTTGCCCGCGAGCCGCTTGCTGCTCTGGTCGGCGTAGGACCCCACCGAGATGCCCGACATCTTTCTGCTCGACATTCCTTGGACTGCTCCTGCGTCAGAGGTTGACTTGTTTGACCACTCCTCCGACTTACTCTTTGAGCTCCATTCCTCTTCGGTCTTTGCATGGTTCCTCTTCGCCAAGCCGAACGCAAGCCGTGGAAGAATGTGGATGGCGACCAGCGTAACGATCCGCCACCGCGCCTGCACCGGCTGGAGTCAGACCCCTGGCAAGTTCGTCCCTTGCGAAGCAGTGGCGAAGGCAATCCGCACTCCGACGCACCGAGCCCAACGTGCGTCCATGCTCTGACGATACTGAAGTGGCCCCAGGACACACGAATAAATACACACAAATTAACATATGCCCCATAGTTTCCCATATGTTGGGGGTGTTCGTCTTCCCCCAACTTCCCATGGTTTCCTATATTTTCTGGGGAATCAGCGTTTATTTGTTTCTGTTTTTTTCCCCTCCTGATCTACCGCTGCTGCTGATGCTTCCCGGCAGGACGTGGCGTCAACCACAGCACTGCGGGATGAGAGGGGGGGGATCCTCGGCCTCTGCCTCCCCCCGGCGCCCTCCCCGCTCCCCCCCCCCTCCGGCACCCAGCCGCGCGCGGTCGCGGACGGACGCGGCAGCGCAGGGGGATGATCATGAAGAGGTATGCCAGAACCGCTACGGTGACGTCGCCGACGTAGTTGCAGCCCGCCTTCTTCCAGGGGTTGATGAGCAGGAGCATGGACGGGCCCGTGATCACAACCTCCAGCATCTTCAGAACCAGGAACTCGACTATCTTGGCGATGTTCCCGAGGAGGGGTATCCTTTGACTTTCGATCGTGAGGTTTGTGATGAACACCCTGGCAATAGCAGTCACCATCGAATCGGAAAATCAAATCGCATCGACGGGTGGGCCCCGTCGGGCTGCACCTGCACGGGATCGAAACCAGATCGGATCGGCTGCAGCAGGAGGCACAACCGCGCCATGCGAATACCGGCTCGCACCGGACCGTCGGAGCATCGGCATCGAATCGGATCGAGCCAGCTGGCACCGGCCCCGAATCGGACCGATCGGGTCGCAGCGTGCCCTGCCTGGTGTCGTTGACCATGACGAAGAACACGATCAGCAGCCCCGTCAGCAGCTGAGCCGTCGCGGCGAGGGCCGCACCCCCGGGGCACTTGAAGTCCGCCCACATGGCGATCTGCACGCTCATCGTCGCCATCTGGTAGGAGACATCCTCCGGAGGGCGCCAGGGCTAGGTCGGGCACGTCCCCCTACGGTGGGATGGTGGACGAACAATATAAAAACTGCCCCAAGAAATACTCAGACAGGGCTCAAACAATGGTCCCTAGACTATTTTTTGACTATTCTTGAGCATTCCTCCTGTAGATGGGGAGAGCAAAAAACCGATACCGCTACTCCCCGGATCTCTCCCAGGGTGCGTTCTGACCAGGATTTCGAGGAGGCGACGAGGGCCGCCCAGGAGGCCCAAAAATTGGAAAACGAGCGAAGGGTAGAGGTATGGGTACATTTCGGGGGTGGACAGAACCCCCAACAGTGACACGTCGATTAGTGAACTGTCCGTTTTCGGTTCTCGAGAGGGCGCCGTGGCCGTTATTTTCCAGTCCTGCGCCCGCCAGGTTTGGGCCTCAGGTCGCTTTCACTAAACCACGTTTTACTACAGGGAGGTCCGTCCATCCCCGGCCATTTTCCTCCTCTGGGCAGAGGTGCACGCCCGACTTCACGCCAGGGATGCTAGGGCTCCCAACTTCGCGCTTCGCGCTGCGCGAAGCGCGAAGCGCGAATAACTTCGCGCTCTCGCGCCGCCCTCCCAAAGGGAGAATAGGAGGACGAGGAGGAGGAGGAGAAGGAACGAGGACCGCGAAGCGCGAAGCGCGAATAACTTCGCGCCCTCGAGGGAGCCCTTGGGGATGCACCCACGCCGATCCTGGCCAGACCCACCCGGGGGGCCCAGGACGGGCGCGCGCGCCGGCCCTGGTCGGGCGAGAGGGCGGCAACCTGCACCCACCCGGGGCCCACGGGCCAGCCCCGGCAGGCCCGGCGTACACGTCGTTCCTCTCAGTCTCCAATCGTGCTCATTTCTAATGGTGCTCGCTTCTCATTGTTCCATCGTGCTCGTGTCTAATTGCGCTCGTTTCTAACTGCACTCGTTTCTAATTGTGCTCATTTTCAGCGGCGCCCATCAAACAGGGACTCCACTACCGGGTACTTTGGCCAGTGACCCAGCGAACCCAACCATTCCCGATGTGGGCAGCGCTGCATTTCCAGAAAGAGGACCGTAAATGGCAACATTCGGCGGAATTGCAAAGTACCCGTTGGTAAGTACACGTTACGGTGCCGTTGACATTTCTAATCGTGCTCGTTTCGAACTGTTCCTGGCCCCCTGGTGGCCAGGAAGAGGCCCAGGCTAGAACAGTTAGCTAGAAACGATCTTGGCCCTCGAAAAAAAATCAAAAAACTTTCGAAGAAGTAGAAACTACACCAGAGAAAAAACCCAATCAAAGGATGGTTTTCGCTGAGGAGATCGACCGGGAACCCGGGAGCCCGGGACTCCAGAACCCACCGAAATCGGCCCGGAACCAATAACCGGGAACCCGGGAACCCGGGAACCCAGCCTGCTACCAGAATCGGCGGGAACTCGCGCCAAATCTCCCAACTTCCGCTAGAGGACCCCTTCAGTGCACGCACTGATTGGGGAATGCACAATGTGTCTTTGGAGTCCCGAAACGGTGCGGCGACGGACCGTGCGGTAGCTTCGAAATCCCCCCAGACCTCGCCGCACGGTCCGTCAACGCACGGTTGTATAGAGGCCCCGATCGCCCGAGACGTTCTCGGAGAACGACCCGAGCCCCAAAACCGTGCGGTGACCCCGAATCCCCATCGACTCACCGCACGGTGTGGCCGAATGTGTAGTGTTATGTCGAGCGTGCCCCCCTACAGGGGGATCTTCGACGAAAAATAAAAAAACGAAATACCCCAGAAAGGCAAACAAATAGTCCAAAAATAGTCCCCAGACTACTTTGGGACTATTCTTTTAAATTATTTGTGGGGTATTTTTTACTTTTCGTCGACAATCCCCCTGTAGGGGGACAGCCCGACTTCAGTGTAGTGCTTGCGACGCCCTGCCGGAACGCCAGAAGATTACCACCACCACCGAGATCGGGATCTTCTGCCCTCGGTGGAGGCACACCGCCGATCTTGGTGTTGGTGTCAACCTCTGGGCCTGCGATGCTTGTGACGCCCTGCCGGAACCTCAACGAAGTCGGCGAAGCCCTCCACGACCGTGATCTGCGGCAGCCCGGCCGAGGCCCACACCGCCATGAGGGCGCTCCTGCCCATGGGGAGCAGTGCCCGACCGTCCCGGTGCTCCCGCAGGCCTACCACGGAGCACTTCGGAGAGCTCCAAACAATACCCAGAGATCCAACGCACTGAAAAAATCAAGACGGAGGTTTTTGACAGTTATCGGCCCCTGAGGGCCCTCGCCGGGCCTCGTGAGCGTCAAAAATCGACTCGGGATGAAAAACCGGTCCTGGGGAATGGGTCGAGACTTCCGGGGACCCCGTATTGGAAAAATCACGACATCGGATCTCAGGGTACCACGGAGCACTTAGGAGAGCTCCAAAAAATATACCACCACCAGCCCTGGCCAGGTCCGTCCTGGGCCTTGGACTGGTGTACAGGCCCTCCCGGCCTGGGCCTGGAGGTCTGTGCACCACTCCAGGGCCCAGGATGAAGCTGGCCAGGGCCGGTGTAAATGTATTGCTGACGTCCGTCCGAGCACTTTTAGGACACGCGGACGCTCTCCCACGAGCGACATTCTTGGAACATGAGGCGCCGAAGCCTTTCAGCAAGGCCGACAAAACCAACCATGTTCTACTAACATGCTGTACGAGCCGCAGGGAGGTTCTAAAACCATTTGTTGGTGGGCCTGCACGCGAACCAAGACGGTTCGTCACTGCTCGATCCTGATCTCTCCCCCCAGATCAGCGTACGGAAACCACTCCACAGCGGTGAGCATCGAGAACGTCCGGAACGCCGCGCTCGCGGACGCCAGATGCGCGGTGTAGAACGTCACCTCCAAACAGAACACCGTGAAGCACGAGAAAGCCTTGAGCGCAATGCTCTTCCATTGCCGGCCACGGATGTCCTCCCTGATGTTGTCTTTCTCGAGAAAGACGTCCTCGGTGTTGCCGAGCATCTCGTTGAGCCTCGTCGAGGCACTGACGCCCTTCACGACGGCATTGATCAGCCACATCATTATGAAGGTCACCAATGCGCCCGTGCACATCGCGACCAAGAAACTCGTGCAAATTGTAACGGTCGCGACGGAGAACGAGATGAAGACGCACAGGACAACAAAAATGATGCCAATAAAAGCTAGGACAATGCTGAGGGTGAACAGGGCTATCAAGCAAATAAAGACTGCAAGTGCCCCCAACTGAAGCACGAGGATGATGAATGCAATCGCAAGTGAAATCATGAGGGCGGCAATGAACAAAGTGAGAACAACGTACACAACCAGTACAAGGACAACCGGAAAACACACGACTGCACAAACATAGACTTAGGGAGATCCGCGCTGGTGTCCTGGGTCGGCGCTGAACTCCCTCCCGCGGCGCGCTCGGAGCGCGTCCTGGGGGAACCAAAAGGTACCGATACCGCTACTCCACGGATTTCTCCCAGGGTGCGTTCTGACCAGGATTTCGAGGCGAGTCCAGCCGTGGTGACGAGGGCCCCCCAGGAGGCCCCAACAGGGGAAACCGAGGAAGGGTAGCGATATGGGTACCTTTTCCTCCTCTGACGTCCAGCGCCGACCCGAGAGAGCCGCGCAGACCTCCGAACGTGTTATGCTTATGCTAGTGTGTGCTGTTCGGGATAAATAGTGCGACGGCAGCGAGTATGATAACCAACCTGACTACCTACCAGACCACCCCAACCCAACCCGAAGACCCGAATTTGACCAGGTCGGGTTGGGGGGGGGGGGTACGGGTTCCATGTGTTTTTGTCTCAATGTCCCCCGACCCCCCGCCCACTGGAAATGGAAGGCAAATTGAGGCCTTCGGGTTGGGTTGGGGTGGTTTGGTGGGTGGTAGCAACCAGAACACGAACATCGCGGGCACGACGAGCAAGAGCACGACGGTGCAAGTGACACACACCGGCACGCCAAGAACGGCCCACACGACATACAGCGGAAACGACAGAAATGCAAGCAGGGGGAATCCGCCACCGCGCCTGCACCACAGCGGAATGATGGAAATGCATGGAGGAGGCAAGAAGGTGCCGCTGCCGCTGCTCCCTGGGCCTCTTCTGGGGTGCTCTGGCCAAGATTTCGAGGAGACTCCCGCCATGGCGACGAGGGAAAGGTAGCGGTATTGGTACTTGTTCCTCCCCTGAGGGATGCTTGATGGTTGTCTGGTAGTCCCTGGAGGCTGGAGATTTCTCAAGTGGCCCTAAGAAGCCCCTGAGAGACCTCAAAGAGACCTCCAACGATGCATGCAGCATCTAAACACGTGGGAACATCGGATGCAAATCAGAGTTCTGCGCTTGCGAAGAGGCTTGAGGCCGTCTCGAGGGAGCCCAAATGAAGCCCCGAGAAGCTGAAGACGGGCCCAGGACTTAGTGGGCCCTGGAAACGGCAGGGCCGTTTCTTCACCGTTTCCGAAAAAAGTCCCTTGACAATGGAAACGGCAAAAAAATGGCGACCGGAAACGGCACAAAAACGACTCCAGGATTGGAACAAGAGCGGGAACCCGTAACAAAAACGGCGACGGAATCGGTAAAAAAACGGCGTTGGAACCACCAAAAAAACGGCAAAACGGCACCGGCAACAAAAACGGCCATGTCGTTTCCAGGGCCCACTAAGCCCCAGGAAGGCCCCAATACAGCCCGAACAGAATCGAAGACGGCCCAAGACCGCCCACACAGTGGGCTCCAAGCCGGCCCAAAAAGCCGCACAGATCTCCCCGCAGAGGCGAGCCCCTTCCGGAGAGCTCGCAACAAACATGGCGCCCAAGACGCACGAGACCCCCGATGGTAATTCAAGAGGCCCCCAAATGAATCCAAAGAGGGCCACTGTAGGGTCCCGAGAGGCCCCCACGATACCCCCAAGGAGCCTTCAAGACTGCATTACAGACGTGGGAGGGAGGAGAGGGGATGAAGAGGAAGAACGAGGATGGAAGATGACGAGGCTGCGAACAAGGGGGGAGGGGGTGGGAATGCTAAAAACCCGCGCCAATTCAAACACGGCACTGGTCCAGAACGAATCTTCGATAACACCTCATCCAGGCTGCGCTGCTTCGCTGTCATGGTGGCGGGGCTTGTCGGAGGCAGCTGGATACATTCCAAGCGTCCACGACCAAGACATCCCAAACTGCAACGTACCACCACGCCCACAAGGATTCGATGAAGAGGGGCACATGTAACGCGTACCATTCCATCATCCGATGCCAGAGTGCCTCGTGAACAGCAAGGACAGATCCGACCATGCCTGCTAGTAAGAATACGAGAGATTCCCAAAGCCATGTCAAAACCATGACCATGCCATTCCAAGTCCACATCATAGCAGCGACAACAACATCATACATGTGCAGTGTGAGCGCGAAGCCGATATCTATCGACCCGAAGACACACGACAACGCGATGTTTATGGATCCGCCGACCGACACTGACAACATCTGCTCCGGGCTGCCTGGGTTCGCGGAGGAATCGTCATGCATCGAACAATCCCATGGGGATACCTCCCTGTCGACGACTATCTGCACACACGGGTACTTGTGAAGTGGCGGCTCCTGTCGGTACTGGCTCTGGGCAATCTCTAGGTCGCTGGCCGATGAATTCATTTTCAGGTACACGTCCGAGTCCCCACAATTGTTCAAAAGGTCGTCCGTGCTGCATTCGCCATCTCCTTCACAGAGCTGCCCTTCTTCGACGGAATCGCATGCGTCTAGATCCAGGTCAGCAGGGCAATCGCTCGGAGGCACTGGCACCAAAGATGTGTCATTATCGCACGCCGCAGCACTGGCCAACACGCGACTTCGAACTGACAAGAATGCTGCTGGCTTCGGAGTCAGTGCCGCGGCATTTGCCGACGTTGATGTCTGCGACGATCCTGCACGCTCGACGCCATGAGCGAGAACCAGCAGTCCCTCCAAGAATGTGGTGAATGTGCGCGGACGTATCATGCTATCCGAGTAAGAAGGACAGTGGCTGGGCGTGGCCAGAAACTGGGGGGCCAAAAAATATACACCACCACCACCTCTCTCCCCCCCCTCCCTCTCGCGTCAAAGAGGAGCGAGGAGGAATCGACGTGGTAATGGGTGTATATTCTTTGGGCCCCCAGAGCCGGCAACCCCTTAACGCTGAGAGGCGTGGTCACAATGGCGACATCGCAGAGGCCACCCGGTCCACGGCTTGAACCAATGCTTTACACATACAGGTTTAGGCCGCGCGTGTCCTCCCACAGGCGGATTTTGGACGAAAAATAACAAATACCCCCGAAATGCTCAGACATAGTCAAGGATAACCTAAAAATGGTCCCCAGGCTACTTTGTTACTATTTCTGAATATCCCTCCTGTATAGGGACAGGCCCGACCTAAATACAGGTGCACTTGTGGTGAGGCGTGCGTGCGAGGCCGTCCGCGCGCGTCAGAGATCCAGAGCCTGGTGCTGGACACCATCGGGGGGGGGCGAGGCAGAGAGAGAGAGAGAGAGAAGCGCCGTGCACGTCAAAGGTGCGTTGGCAAACAAGTGAAGCAGCAAATTCCGCTACCGGAGGCGCGGCTGCGAAACAAGAATACGCCGTGCAAAAACCGACAGCAACGACAGCGGCGGCGACGGCGGCGGCGGCGGAGGCAAGGGGGGGGGGGGCGAGGCAAACAACCTGATGGTATCTCGATCGGGTAGTCGTCGTATCCTGATCGCGTCCTGTGCGATTGCTTGATGACTGGACTTCGGTGTTGCTCCGTCGGCGGAGGCACTGAGCCAGAATCGTGTCCCGAGGGCGTGCAACGTTGTCCCGATGAAGTTGTGAGGGTGTCCGACCATGTTCCAATGGTGCATTGATTGCGAAGCCGAGCTTTGACGGTGACCAGAGGTGCCCCACTGGTGCGACGTCGTGGTTTTACGAGTGCGTCTCAATTGTCCGAATCATCTGATTTGATTACCACGTGATTATGTCCCTACGGATTTCCGATACTGCATCTTTTATAAGCGTTTTCCCATTCGACCAACTGGTAAACACAATAGCACGGTGCAGGTATCGCCTCAAGGCGCAATGTTGTTAATAGTATCACAACATGCGGTGCTGCGAGGTAGCACTTGATCATGTAGATGGCCATGAACATATGCTTATGCAGTATGCATGTGTGGCTTCGCCTGCGCTAGGAAATGGTATAATATCGTAGTGCATGCTTGCATGACCATCGCTAGGGCCACGTGCGTGCATACACCATATGGTTGCCAGCCATGTGATGCAAGCATGCGTATATCCAACATATGTTCATAGAACACGTTGCACGATGAACCGATGAACAAATCCATGCCCACACTGTGCAAATTACAATGGGAACACGCCTGTAGTTGGCCACCCCTCTAATGCCGTTCCACTGGTGCGCCGAATGGATTCCATGGTTTCCAGATGGTCTCTCGCGGATTGGCAATCTGAACTGATTCTGTGTATGCAATGACAGGGTGCTGGATGTACTGCTGATGGAAGCAAGATCATTCGGCGCGTATGCACGCAGTCACGCATTCGCTCAGTCATCACGCATTTCATTGTACCATCGGTTCGTGCACTCGTTGTTCCAAACATTCGCCAACCCAACCAACAATCAGATCACATGTCTACCATCATCGCCGATGCCGCAAGGCCGAATGAACCGTGATGCCGCGCTGGCTGTATTGGCGCGTGCCGTCCAGGTGCAAGCGAGAAGCAACACAGCATTCAAGGAAGCAAGCAAGCAAGGAAGCAATGAAACACACATGTAATCAAGTAAGCAATGAAGCAATGACGCAATCAAGCAAGGACGCAATCGAGCAATCAAGGAAGCAAGCAAGCAAGAAAGCCATCGAGCAATGACACACAAACAGGCACGAGATCCAGTAGGCAGGAATGCGAGCGACCAATAACGTAAGGTAAGCAAGCAAGCAAGCGATCGAGAGAGCAAGCGAACAAGCAAGGACCTTGGCATGACATCGAGCAAGCGGGGCATCAAGCAAACAAGCCAGCACTCGAGCAAGAAAGCCAGCAAATAAGGATACGTACGAACACACAAGATAACGCCAACAAATCCTGTGTGTGAAATGCATGCGCGACCAGCCTTTGCGACACCGGTCATTTCGGGTCCCGCGGGGGCAACCCTAGCACCGTGCCATAAGCATGAATGAGAACTACTCGAGTTTCGCGCACCTGTCAAATCTTTTGGATATCGAGCAATCCTGATCGCCTCCCATGCATATATTTGCTTTCTCTAGGCAGCGCATGCGACGCAACGCAACCTTATGGGACCCAATGCAACCCATAGCATTGCGTTTAACAACATGCCATAACACAACAACGCCAATCACATGATTCAAATACATATCAATCTTTGTGGGCCCCGGAAACGGCAAAGCCGTTTTTTTCCACCGTTTCCCTAAAAATGTCCATTGAAAATGGACACGGCAAAAAAACGGCGACCGGAAACGGCAAAAAAACGGCTCCAGGATTGGAACCGGAGCCGGAACCGGTCAGAAAACCGCGACGGAACAGGTAACAACAACGGCGTCGGAACCGTCAACAAAAACGGCAGAACGGAACCGGTAAAACAACGGCCCTGTCGTTTCCAGGGCCCACTATGATATCAGTGGATTGTACAACGCAGGCAGGTGCGTATCATTCCAGGCGTCGCAGATCACAATGTGGCATTGCACAGCATTGCACACAGTCGGACCAAGGCCAGAATAGCATCCCCCAGAAGGCATGAGACCCTCCGTCGGCCACCACAGAAAAAAAAACACCCACGGGTATCCTTCCCCCCAGCTGCACAAGAACGTCCACTCGCCATCGCTCGGACGTCCATTCCTCGTGTATGTTTTGATTTTGTGCGTGGTTTTCTCGCCAAATGATCAAGGATGCTCCTCGATGGCCGTCGCCGGGAAAAAATGCACACGTCCGAGCGATGCCAAGTCCAAGAAACACGAAACACACTAGTGCACCCTCCCCGAACCGACCTCGATTCCATACCTCGGTCCGACTGTACCTTGAATTTTTACCTGACCCCCTACCTGACCACCCCAACCCAAGTCGAAGACCCGAATTTAGCCCTAATCTCGGATTGGGGGGGGTACGGGCTTCATGTGTGTTGCTTCAAAGTTCCCCGACCCCCTCCCCCACTGGTAATGGAGGGCAAATCGGGGCCTTCGGGTTGGGGCGGTTTCGTGGGCGGTGATTACCACCGTGCTGTGAGGCAAGAGCTGGCGGCTCATCAAGTCCTTCGAGCTCCCGTCGTGCCGCGAGGATTCGTCAACGGGGGCCCACGGTCCCGAGCTCTCTCGGGGCGCTCCCGGCAGTGCCGGGCCTTGTCGCATGACCTCTGCGGAACCCAGAGGGCACCACGACGGGGAGTCCTGGGGGGGCCAGACATGCGCGCGAGGACAGACCATACTGCTATGTTGAGGTCGGGCATGTCCCCCTACAGGCGGATGTTGGACGACACATGTAACATAGTTTAACGAATACACCGAAATGGTCAAACATTGTCACAACATCGCCCCAAATCTATGTTTTGATTATTTTTGAACTTCCCTCCTGTAGAGGGACACGCCCGACTCATGGAGAAACCAAAAGGTACCCATACCGCTACTCCCGGGACCTCTGACGGGGCGCGTTTTGACCAGAACTTCGCGGCGAATGCAACAGTGGAGACGAGGCCGTCCGAGGAGGCCAACAAAAGATGAAAACGGGCCAAGGGAGGCGGCCTGGGTACCTCTTCCCTCCGCCGAACTTGAATGGGGTGTCCGCAGCGCTGGCGGTCGCAGAGGCGCGCTCGGCCGCATGCGGGGGGCGCGCCGCGCTGGAGGCGCGCCCCCGCGCGAGCGCGAGCGCGAGGACGCATGGCCGCGGGGGAGGCGAGGGCGGAAGGCCTCCCGGCGCAGGGACGTCTGCGTCCGGGAGGGGGCGTGCAGGCGGCCCGAGGACGTGCCGCAGGGAGGGAGGCAGGGAGGAGAGGGAGGAAGGAGGGGGAGGGAGGAGGGGGAGGAGGAGAGGGAGGGAAGGAGGGAGGGAGGGAGGGAGGGAGGGAGGGGAGGGAGGGAGGGAGGAGGAGGAGGAGGAGGAGGAGGAGGCGAACGGGGCAGCCAGCAAGAGCGGAGGCGCGGAGGCAGAGAGCAGAGCCTGGCCTGGTGGGCTCGGCGGGCTCCTCCTTGCCGACGTGCACGCCACCATAGGCCTCTGCACTCCGGGCGTTGCTAGACGCCGCCTTCAGTCAAGAAGGAAACACACACACACACACACACACACACACACACACACACACACACACACACGCGTTGCTGGATTCTCGTGCGGTGTGAACACCTGGAGGCCACGCGCTGGACATACACGCATGCGGAACGCGAAGCCCCAGCCGCGCGCTGGAGGGACATCTGGCCACATGTGAATGCGGCTCTCGCCCAGGCGATGCCACCTATCGTTGATAGCATCTCGACTTCCACGATTAGCACCACACCCCTTGATGCCGTACCCCTTCCCGACCTCCAGATCCTCCTCCACTATCCTCCCCGCCTCCGCTCTTCCTAACCCCTCCTCCTCCTCCGCCCACTCGCCTTGCTTGTGACCCAAGGCGGATCGCCCCCCATCCCGGATCAACGACAGCATCGGCATGGACGCAGCCGCTGCATGTTAAGAGGGCAGGAGAAGCTGAGGCATCCCGGGGCATGAACGTGCACGCGTTCGGAGCTCAAGTGCCGACCTCATCATCACTGCTACGGTGACCAGAACCTTTCTGGACATATTATTAAACTGTTGCGTGCTGCTGCCGATAATTCACATAGTCCCGCTGCTGCTTGGGCCGTCTGCTCCTCCGCTTGCCTTCCCCATGTACTCACCCCCCGTGTAAATTTCCACACTCTATGGCCACATCACAATGCTCCTTCGCATAGTCCCACCCACCGCTTCCACTCATTCTGCTGCAGTCTCCACCA